ATAAGACCACAATGTAACCACCAAAAAAACCGCACGAAAATTGGTCAGAATTATGATATTCGGCTGGCATTAGGAAATTACCCATGTGACAAATCATGTGATACGAATAGGATTTTTAAATAGAAACGCGCCTAAGCGTCTTACTGTAATTCAAATTGCAGTATTAATGTCATTTGCTATGATCGACATGCGACATGTCCGGTGACTGATATACTCTTTGAAGTTGAAGCACATACATCCATCCCTATACCTTAATTTAAGATTTTATCATGACAAAAATTTTGCCTGTGAAAAGATTTTATTTTCATAATAAATTATTCTAAAAAATACATTTAAAAAAAATTACAAAATTTAATTTACATAAAAATTTCATTGAGTATAATCTAATAAATATAATCTAATAAATGAATGAAGAAAAAAAATTATTTAATATTTATATTAATAAAATTGTCCATGACCTGAAAGTCGATTGCAATTTAAGAGAAAATTTAATATTAATTATAAATTCATCATTCAAATGCCCCCCAAAAACTTTATGCCATTATCATTTTCTATTAGCTCTAAAAACATGACTGGTTGCAAGATCTTCCTTGTAAACTCTTTTTTTTAAAAAAAAAGTAGGAAAATTTATTCATTTACCACATATCGAAACTTATCGATAGATATTTTTTCCTTGTAAACCTATAATTCAAATAAATTAATATAGATCGCAAAAAATTAAAAAATTATGATACATTAGTTAAAGTGAAATTAATACATGCCTTCTTCCAAGTTTCCTTTTGTATATCTAAGGTATTTAATCATTTATGGACAGTGAAGATTATACCAAAGTTTCATTTCTGATTATTACCATCTTCACCGGACATTCCGGAAATAGATAAAGAGTTAGTTTGACTGAGTCTATCGTAAATATTGCGAAGTGTTGGTAAATCAGGAAAATTTAAAAGACGGCTTTTATAAAAAGATTCCGGATGTGGTTTCTTGAAAGGTTCCAATTGGGAACCAAGATGTTCTAATAATCGTATCCTTTCTTTTTCAGCGGAAATAATTTGATCAGAAACACTATGCTTCTGAGAAACGCCCATATGCCAACCCCATGACATCAATGTCTTTTCCAATTCTCTAATATCTGGACGTTGTTTAGGATCTGCATTCCAACATCTTTCCATAAGTTCGATATAACATTGAGGAGTTTCCACTATTATTTGTGGTCGAAGTCCATTACATATATCCCACGCGAGCCGCGCGCCATGCGGACGTTCATAAAAAGGTCTCTGACCTGACGCGATTTCCCACATAATCATACTAAAACTATATACATCAGATGCTTCAGTATAGGGTTCACCATACAAAACTTCAGGAGCTATATAAGCTAAAACGCCATAGATGCCATCTTCATCTTGATTGTTTGAAGGTCGAAATTGTCCCAAATCCGAAATATAAGTCAAACTTTGTGACCCGTTAAAATGTCTTAGTATATTACCGCTGTGAAAGTTCCTATGAACCAAACCAGCGTTATGAATTGTCATTAACCCGTGCGCAATATTATAGACGATTCCCAATTTTTTCTCCCATGTAATATCTACAAAGTTTTTCTTTAGATAATGTCTCAAATCTCCATCCACAAATTCGAACACAAGAACATAATCTTTTGTAGCTGGATCCCTACTGAATCCATAACAACGAGGGATAAACTTATTTTGTTTGCAACGGTGACGTTTGAGCTAAAATAATATATCAAATTGGATTAATACAATTGATAAACAAGATAAATAAAACATATCTCTGACATAAGATTAACGTACCTCATTCCAAAAATCCGGATTTGCTTTATTGGAATAATATAGACGTTTAAGAGCGATTTGCTTTTCTCCCTCACGTACCCAATGACGTTTTGAATCATCCCAGTATAATTTTGGGCCAAGATCCCAGGTAGCCTTATATACAACACCAAAACCACCTCGATCTATCTCTTTTATATTTTCAAATTTGTCATAAGGTATCCATTCCAAGAACATTAAAGGACCCGTTGTATTTATTTGAGAATGTCTTATTACATTATCAAGGTCATTGTTTCCGCTTGTCCAATTATGAAAATCATCCTGAAATCGTTTTATTTCACATTGTTGACACCATCCGCGTTGTGTGTATTGTCGTTTACATGATGGACAAACTTTCACATTTATTGGAATTATCCCAGTTGAGTCTTGGGAGGTATGTTTGCTGGAATAGCAACCCATTTAAAAGAAATTTCTCAAGCTAACAATTAATAAGTTCAAAATAAGAATTTTGATCAAAATAATAAAAATATAAAATATATAAATGTCAACTTACCGATGGGAAAAGACAGACGAATTATACAATAATTAAGAAAAATGAGCTAGCTCAAACGCTAGCGTTTTAAAAGGACGTGCCAAAAAGATTCAAAAGATTGGAGAACGCATAAAAAATAATATACTTTTACACAATACGTTTAATAAATGGAAATGGATTTACGATGTGGTAAAATGAATAATTAAAAAAAAGGTGGTTGTTGAAGGAGAGAGATTCTTATCTCGAGTTCTCGAAATGGACAAATTTAATATATAATTCCGAAAAATGGATTCCAAAATTGGAGTCGTGTTTCACAACTTTATTCTTGGATAACTTATGATTAAATATAAGTGATTTATATTTCCTCTTTCTCTAACAATGAAACCACATTCTAACCTATTGTTAGACAAGACGCAGGTTATTTAAATTTTTTATTCCCACCTAAAATTAAGGAGTTAATTTAACTAATCGGAGTTTAACAGGATCCACCTTTATTTAATTAATGCGGTTTTTGCCGATGCGACATCAATGAGATCCAAGTAAAGTGACCATGAACATGCAGTAACCATGAAATAGAAAAAAAAAATTTTTTCTCCTAAAAAAAAAGTTTCTTACTCGGATGCTATTATTTTAATATCAAACATTTTATGAAGAATTTCTTTACTTTAAATTTATATATATAAGGTTATAAGGATATTAAGTAGACATTTCGATAACCTTTTTTGGATATATTTGTAAACAAACTTTACACGTGAAATTTATTAATCCGCAGTGGATCAAAAATCAAAAATAATAATATTTTTTGTCGTGTAACAATGTAAATGCAAAATACTTTGCATTGCTCGACAGTAATTAAATTATTGGTCAAATGTTAAAAATAAATAAATAAATTATATTTTTATAATATATCTATTATAAATAAATATACAATGATTTTACATATTTCTTGGTTGATATTACTGCGCATTTGTCGTGAGACTTCATTTGAATGTCCTTTTCCAATGAAAGTACGCATACAAAATTAAAAAAGACATAGCCCAACAATTTTCGGAATTCTGGATCTTTTGTATCTTTGAGTTTTCTGGAAAGTCATTTGCTCTTATCTATTATGGCAGCTAGGAAAAACTTCCGCAAGGAATATAAAATATTTTCTAAGGGTTCCATCTCATCATTTGACCATTTAAATCTTTTTCGTATTTTGTATTGCATTAATAACATATTGTGATATTATAAAAAAACTAGCCAGTCTTTTTTACACCAATACCCACGGGATACAAAGAATGATATGGTCAGATCGTTTGACGATTTGAAAAAAAAGTGGTACCGGTCTTTTTTGATGTATCAATTTAGACCGAATTACAATAAATCAATCTCGATTGTTTCTGACCATAATTACTTCTTTATATTATTATATAACATGCTCAAAATCATAAATAATGATTATAGATACAGGATTTGATATAAGTTAATACTTTTTATTTTAAATTGTAATTTACAAGTCTATTCCATATGTGTACATTAATTAATTTTAAAAAGATTCATTATTATAAAATAAATATATTTAGGTTGGAAACGTGTATAAAATTAATTTATTAATAAAAGTTCTGGTATAACATTCTAATTACTGTGATAATTAAATTATTAAAAAAAAGAAAAAGGTGGTGAGGGGTTAAATAAAATTATTGAATATAACGATGAATTGAAGATCTTGACCAAGTATAATAAATGAGACTTTGTTAACGAAGTTTTTTTATATAACAAATTTTTATATTAAATTTAAGGATATAGCGAATTTTTTCCTTTATTACTATTAAAGGAAATGTTACATTGTAAAATTTTAATAAAGTTTAAATTAATAATTTAAAT